AAGCAATTATGCACAAAGACGTTTGTTTATAATATCTAACAGGTGCCTATACGTGCGCAGATACGTCATAAGTCTAACAAATGCACAAAATGAGTGCAGAAAGATTTTTATGGCGAAGAAACAGATAGTGACTATGGTTATCTAAGCGCGTTATAGCCTCATACATAAGGATTCGCGCACAGAATTCACTATACGTATACATATGGGTTACAATTGAATCCTGAAACATTCGAGTGACGAAAATTAAGAAAAACAACAATTAAATATGCAATATCAATTGCAATGATCAAAAACAATTTCGAAAATTATGCAATTGTTCGTACGCATTGAAAGTAGCCTACAGATGGCAGCATGTGTAAAAAGACTTTCCGAATTAGACTGGTTATGGCGTATTGTTACAGTCAGGTAAATCAATAACCCTTCTACGTAGCGATTGGCCGACAGCAGAACTCACGAACTCTAGCGGAGAGAATCCTAAACCAAAAATTACGTGGTTCGATTTGATTGGAAAGACCTGTCCATCAGCTTTTATAGCAAAACTCACGAACTCTAGCGGAGAGAATCCTAAATCAAAAATTACGTGGTTCGATTTGATTGGTAAAGACCTGTCCATCAGCTTTTAAATACGTCAGATTGATGTCAGACCCAGAAGTGAAAGTCAGTCGTTATTGATTTCTGTCGAGAGGCAGTGCAGTCTCCGTGATTCAACGTTTGCCTTGGAATTTAGCTAAGAGTTATTCGCCTTCTTAATTTCAAAATTTCGGACGTCGGTACTCAAACAAATATGTTCAGCGGGAGAACTAGCAATATTTATTTCCTGCGGTACATATTAAACTACTGTGTGCTTCGTACAGAGAATACGAGAGGAAGTTCTCCTTCCAGTGACGTATGAAAGATGGAGACAAGTAGAAAATTACACCTACGGTCTGATGTACGTGTACGTGTGAATTGCCCATGTGTCATCAAGCTCCGTGTATTAACTTCCGACATTACACGTGTGCACAAAGAGGCGAGTGTCTCTTATGGTGACAGCCAAATACTAAATTCCAGATGTACCTGATTTACTGAAGGTGGACATGACTAAATGTGAACTGTGAGTGCACGTATATATACATATATATTTCTGACAAGCCGGATCTTTGTAATATCTCTTTACATTCTAAAATAAAATTGTGACATGTGTATTAATAATTCTCAAGCGTAAGCAGACCAGACATGCAATTCAACAACTACAATTGCGTAAAAACATGGAGAAGTGACGTGAACCGATTGTGTTGCGAGGTCCAAAAGGAGGTAACCAATGAAAAATCTTTGAAGTATAAAGGTGTCGCAGTGACCCAAACACTAGATTGTTCTATAATTAACCTAACTAACCGAAGGCAACCCAACAGCGGTATTCTGCGTCGGGTGAACATGGCGACCTGAACACGAATTTTCGAAATAGACCATGGACGGTCGAAAATTGCTGAAATTTTCTATAGACGTCGTGCCACACGTAAGTAATAAAAATTCATACTCTTTCGTGTCACAACATTTATAATAAATTCTCACGAAGGCATCAAAGTCGCGAGGTGGAAGAAACTCGAAATCGGCCACGATCAACAACATCGACCATATCAACAAGGAGTTATGCACTCGATATATATTAAAATAAAATTTCAACATGTGTACTAATAATACTTAAGCCTAAGCAGACTACACATTCAATTCAACAACTACAATTGCGTAAAAACATGGATAAGTGACGTGAACCGATTGTGTTGCGAGGTCCAAAAGTAGGTAACCAATGAAAAATCTTTGAAGTATAAAGGTGTCGCAGTGACCCAAACACTAGATTGTTCTATAATTTAAGAACATTGAAATATTCGAGTTTTTAATATCCCGCAATCGATAATAGAACACATACGATGCCTTAACATAGACAAATTGCACACGTCACTGCGCATCACCTTCTGCGCAGATGCCGCATTAACCTAACCTAACCTAACTCAACCCTACAGGGGTAATCTGCGTCAGCTGAACATAGCGACCTAAGCACGAATTTTCGAAATAGACCATGGATGGTCGGAAATTGCTGAAATTTTGTATGGACGTCGTGCCACATGGAAGTAATAAAAATTCATACTCTTTCGTGTCAGAACATTTGTAATTAATTCACACGAAGGCATCAAAGTCGCGAGGTGGAAGAAACGCGAAATCGGCCACGTTCACAAACATCCGACTTTATCAACAAACAATTATGCACAAAGGCGTTTGTTTATAATATCTAACAGGTGCCTATACGTGCGCAGATACGTCATAAGTCTAACAAATGCACAAAATGAGTGCAGAAATATTTTTATGGCGAAGAAACAGATAGTGACTATGGTTATCTAAGCGCGTTATAGCCTCATACATAATGATTCGCGCACAGAATTCACTATACGTATACAAAGGGGTTACAATTGAATCCTAAAACATTCAAGTGACGGAAATTAAGAAAAACAACAATTAAGAGTGGGGAAGGAAAAGAATTTGTTTTGCTGGTTTCATGAACTCGGGATGGCAGTCTGCGTTACAGCACTTTGGAAATTATTTGACCAACTTGTCGCCGAAGCACTTTTGAAATCTTCACCGTATTGAGTGAGCACGTTCATCAGAAGTCATAAGGAACAGAACTGGTCAAAACACATTACATAATCCACTATCACATCCCGGTCTCTGGCAGATTGAATACCATTGTAGAAATTGTAACACTTTCATTCATCCAACAAATGCCCATTTTGCATGTACTCAAAACACATTCGGTGCAAAGAAGCTTCTTTCATAACCAGATCAACTGGTTTCTTTAGTCCATATTGTTTCTTTCGCTCATGATGTCTTTATGTTTTCAACGAAAGAAACCTTACTCATCGCCCTGTTGATGGAGGCAGCAAGGTCATCAGAAACGTTTACCAGACTACAAGGCGAAACGACTCAGAAGATAGTCATCTTCGACATCAACACTGCACAGGAATTCGTACCGGAGACGCGAAACAATGCATTCCCGACATCTATCGGCAACGAAATAGAACTACTTGAACGAAGTACACGCTAATCGTGACAGATGACGGTAGCCGTCAAGAGCGTTGCTCATGGGAGGAAATTGAATTGTTTTTTTACGTTACAAACGTATTTCTACGTAGGGTTAAAAACGAAGATTGCATACGGTGTATTTCATAATATATATAAATCCCCATATACTAATCAGATTCCGACCGAATTCATCAAAGCAGGAGGCGAAAAGTTGTGTTGATACAAAATCTCATTCGCTCTATATGGAATACGAAGGAAATACCACAGCCGTGGAAGGAATCTATTATTGCACCAATTCATAAGATGGGCGATAAGACAAATTGTAATAATTATCGAGAAATCTCCCTCTTATAAACTGCCTACAAAATTTTATCCAACATTCTGCTGAATCCATATGACAATGAAATTATCGAGGAATATCAGTGTGGGTTCCATCATAACAGATCTACAACTGATAAAGTTTTCTACATTTTGCACAGATACTAGATAAACAGTGGGAGTACAATGTGACAGTCAATCAACTACTTATAAACTTCAAGTGAGCCTATTTATTCAGTTAAAAGAGAAGCACTTTAAAATACTTTGCTTGAATTTGGTGTACATAACAAGCTAATCGCGTTAATTAAAAACTCTTTAAATGAAACCTATAGCAAAATTCGTGTAAATAAACATTTGATACATCTCCTATTCAGAATGGCCTAAAACAGGGAGATGCTCTGTAGCTGCTGTTTTTCAATTTTGCCTTCAAATATGCCATCAGGAAAATCGGGGCAGTTTGGAATTGAATGGGAAACATCAACTTTTGGTTTATGCTGATGATATTAATCTGTTGGGCGATAATATAAATACTCTACAAGCACACAAAGAAACACTCTTAAGGGCTGGTATGAATGTTGGCCTAGAAATAAATGCAGAAAACACAAAGTATATGATTATGTCCTTATAAGGGCCCCTTGGGGTCAAGTATGTGGATCACCATACATGGGGAGGTTGGTGGACATGATGAGGAGGGATGCAGCTTGAACTCGATGGCCTCCCTCATCGTCGAGTCCATGTATCTGAATTTGGTGGGCAGCACTGAATGTGGTGGCCCAGGTTGAAGCTTTGTTCGTCAACAGCGGATCTATCTGGTTGATCCAGCTGGATGTGGAGCTCCAGTTGACTATGCAGTCTTTCTTGGTCACAAAGGGACCTGCCCCTTTGATCCAGTGTGGAGAGTACAGCCTGTTGGTTTGATGGATGTGGTGGAATTTGAAGTTGAGGTAGAGGTTAACATGGGTAGCTTTGTGATAAACCTTGCGACCCAGTGAGCCATCAGGTTTGTAGTATATGTCAATATAAAGGAAGGAAAGATGACCTTCCTTTTTGGTCTCTACATGGACACTATTTAGGTGGTCAAGGAACTCCAACAGCTTACCTGGACAGTAAGGCCAGATCACAAATGTGTCGTCTACATAGTGAAACCAGCAGAGGGGGCTATGGGTTGTACATTCCAGAGCTGTTTCTTCGAAGTACTCCATGAAGAAGTTGGAGAAAACAGGTGATAGTCGAGAGCCCACGGCCACACAGTCCGCCTAACCTAAAAAAAATGAAGAGGTTAGTACAAGCCTGAAGAGTATCAAGATGTTTCCATTGAAGTGCGAGCTCAGGAATCGCAGGGCTTCTCTGATAGGCACCACGGTTAAGAGTGAGACAAAACTGAAGCTGACAAAGATGTCCTCAGGACCAGCAAGGAATGACTTAACGGTGCTGATGAATTCCATGGAGTTCTTCACTTGACATAAAGAGTGCCCCACTCATAGAGCTGCCTAGCGACATACTGGTTTGTAGTCGGGTAGAAATTTACTAACGTTTCAGAGGCCCTTGCTGTGTCCATCATCAGGGTGATGAATTAAGTGTTGGTAAGCTTGTGCCAGACTACACAGTGCTACAACACTCATCAAATGTTGATAAACTATTATTTTGTACATAGAGTTTGGTGATGAATGACACAGTGGTAAATAAAAAAGTCTGGGAAAGTGGGATTTAATTTGCAAAACCCAATTAAGCCAGTTTTCACTAGTCATGGCTAGAATGTGGTGACTGACGCAAGTTTATGAATGGGAACATTTCCAGAAGGCTAGCATAAAAGCTTTGAAATATGTCTTCCCATGTAACAGCGCTACTTTAAAAATCTTGTCCTTAATATTGCCAACGTTGAAGACCACCTCAATAAAAACAAGTAACTGGGAAACATCACAGACGTCAGTTGACTCATCTAGCTTCAGGTTAAAAAATTCACAAATTTCAAGATCTTGCCTCAGTTGTCGTTGATCGTCATCAGACATACATTTCACTCTTCTATCAACAACTATTAGATAACTGGACCTCCTTAATTACATTCAACATTTCAGTTTTATTTTTAAACTAAATAAATCATGTATCACATGCTGCAACTAAACATTCTTTAATCACTCAATCACTTTCAAAGGGCTTCTTCTTCTCAGCCAAGATTTATATGATGCAATGGTACCTACTTTGGCTTTATTAAAAAGCTTAGAAAATATTGCTTGATGCAATTGTTAATTACATTTCAAATCCTCAACTTTCTTTCTGGGTATTTCACTGTTGCCAGGATATTTACTTGTGTAGTCTTTATTCATGGTCATGGAAATGTCATTCAACATTACATTTCTTGCTAACAGCCACAACAGTATTGCATATTAAACACACACATTTGTTATAAACATTGACAAAGAAATACTCATTCTCTGCTGAAAAGCCTACAGTGGAAGAGGTAGGCCCCCATTTCTAAATTCCTAAAACACTAGAAGGTAAGGATTGTCTTCACCATCTATTGTGTTTCACATTGCACAGATTTTAAGTTGGGTGTGATCCTTTGCACAGTAAGACCAACTGTAAGACTGGCAATAAAAATATTTGAAAGAAACAGCAACTAGTGTCTGAACATCTACACGTCATTAACTGGTAAAAATCCCTGTAAATGTACACTGGCAAATATCAACACAGTTATTTTAATTCTGGCAAAGAACTGCCACTAACAATAACGATATATGATAGGGTCACTTGGGAATATGGAAGTGTCAGTAAATTTCTTTTCATAGTTTCACAAGGAAATGGGTGGAAATGCTTTGGCACTCTGTCACATTGTTGCCAGGGAAAAAAAAAGATGTTTTCTTACTTCACATGTCTAAGCAGGCAACATAATATTGTGTCATGGGCAACATGATGCCGATGACAGATTCAGTTGGCATGAATCAGTTCTTTAACCTGTTGATATAATTTTTATTTATAAAATATAGCATCACTGCATAGCACCTACCTGTCTGATCATTCTGTGGCCTTATGAGGGTCACTGAACAAGTTTTGCCTATATTTTTTATCTCTGCCAAAAATAATCAGAAAGAGTTGAAATTTTGTGTGGAATAGCCACATCATTTATTTACAAGCACTACTTTTCTATGTAGTCTCCATCTTTTTCTATAGCTTTCCGTCATCTAGTAACAAGGGCCCGTATTGTTTGTTGATAGAAGTCCTCTGGGGTCTGTCGGAACCACATCTTCACCTCCTCGATAACCTCTTCATCATCCATAAACTTTCGTCCACGAATGGCACACTTCATTACACAAAACAGATGGATGTAGATGGGGCCAAATCCGGGTTGTATGGAGAATGGGGCAACACAGTCCAACGCTGTTTTGTGCTGGCTTCTGTTAGCAAATTTTTTGTGCAGTCCTGGGTTATCGTGTTTTTTCATCTTTCTAGCGATCTCAGACGTTACGCTCGGCACCCAACTATGCTTCTTTCGACAGTGCAGTCTCCGAAAACACTTTTCAGACGTTTACGAACATTCCTCACTGTTTTCCCTTCAAACTGCAGGGATAGTGCTCTGTAACAGACTTCACAAGCAGACACCATTAGGAACCTCATGCCATCTTGCGGAATTTGTTATAACTTCATTATCCAAGGCGGGAAAGTTCAAAATTGGCTCTTGGCTAACAGCTTTAAATTTATTTAATTGCCGAAGTACGTAACCTTCATTACTTACAAAATAATTTTCATACTGAAAATTTACAGCTTAAATTTAATTTTTACGTTTCAATCTGTTCTGTTTGATGTTGAGAGTCGCTAATAAGCACACCAGTTGAATTGGAACATGTTTAAAAGACCGGAAATGCATTCTTATTTTCACAATTGTCTTCGGAAAACAAGACAATGTCGTATGAAAGGAAACATTTATTAACTGATTGAATGTTGATGATTATTTGACAAATTAATTTAAAAAATAATTAAATAATTTCTCCTGAAAATATCATTTAGCAAATCAAAACTATGGAATTTCAAAGAAAATCATTTTCGATTGAAACAGAATAACAAGACTAGTAAGCATTTTTTAAAATTATTTGTGCTACAGCAGCGTTTATAAACCTATGGTAAGCGTATTACTGGTGGTACGCGAGCCAATGTTGAGTGGTATGCGAACTAAGTAAGAAAATCAAAAGATAATATTAACATAAATAAGTTTTCCCTGAGCGCATTTGATTATTGCTACATTTAATGTGTTAAATTAGAATTGGTACGCCAGCGAAAAAGGTTGAAAACCCCTATGCATTAATAATGCATAGAATCTCCACAAATCTTAGTTTTAAATTCATTTAATTTCTTGCGGTAAATGCAATCATCAATTCAGCATGAAGATTATAGTTGTGTACATCTGTATATAAAGTTATCTTATTTTGTCGATTGTGATGCAAACTGCAGTATCGATAACAACCTCGACTGCATTACATTCCAACTATCGGAATGTCACGTTTCTTCTTTTTACTATCGTGATGACCCGAACAATTCTTTCAGTGTTAATTCTTTGTTAACTGGCGGTGCTGTTGGATACCTATAAATACTAGAATTAGATAAATAAATTAATAAGAAAAACAACAAAAATTTCTCAAGGGTAGGAAAAGAAAAGATGGCTGAATTTAAACAAGAAACAAAAGAAATCAGCTTAATGGTGCAGGGAGTTTAAGCTACAGAATCACAATTTTGTATCATGTACGTGCATGGCGGCAGACAATACATTCCTGTCTGGGTTTGAGGAACGCCGTTCTCGTATGAGGATTTCAATTCCAAATTTAAATTGCTCCTGTGGTCCTGTGAGTTCAGTTGGGTTTATTCTTAATAACAGGGATTCTATATTGTATCATTAGCTTTTATGAGATGAATATTTGTAACCTATAAACTGCTCTTTCCATGGGCAATTACAGGTTAAATTGTAGGTGCTGCTTTTGTATGTAACTGTCATCGCTAAAGGTCATTAAATTAATACTTCATATCTAAAAAGTATGTGAAAAGCTTAGGCTGTCTGAAATTATTTAATTTTCGGTCTATTTTAATACACTTGGCAGTAATTTCAATAAAACAAAAACCTTCTAACAAATATAAAACTGCCAGCGAAATTTAATAGGTAGATGTGTCATGAGTTTATTTAGAAATGTTATTTTAAGCAAGCTTAAGTGCGTTTGTGATTGAATTCTCTTTGACAGACTAGGTCCTGGATATAATTTTATTCTTTTTCCGGTCAACAAAGGCCATTTGGTTGGACAAGCCACTTCTCCACTACTTAAAGAATCCGTATTTTATGGGGAAACTCTCTTCACATTTAGGGTTTGAATGGAATTGGTTCTGAAAGATTAAGCCTCTGTTAACCTTTTTTGCTACTATTCTCATAAACGAGAGTTACAGACCGAGCCACAGTAGTATTATTATTTTATATACAATTTGTTTTCGTTATACGTGGTTAACTGGAACCGAGAAATCGCCACTTAAAGCGAATCCCCTTTAAGCGGACAATTTCAGCCCCTAGTCAGGGCTCAGTACATCCACGAGTACCGCGAACAGGTCTGTAACCGTAGAAGGTAGCATGTCGTCCACCACATGGTCTAGCAAGGAATTGTTTTCCATCAACTCATAATACGTCTCATATAACCATTCTGAAGTAATAATGGTACTAAAATAAACATTTTAACGTAAATTATTTTAACATATCACTACCTTAAGTTATAAATCGCTTTTATCTCCAAAACTATACCGTAATTGGTATGTGTTTTGAAGTGAACTGTCTATAGTTGTTTGGGTTAAAGATCTCATTTTTGCATTTCAAATTACTTTATAGCACGGTAACACATTTCTGTCTCAAGGGGGGAGTGGCAGATGGGTGTAACAGTTAGAAATCGTTTTGTGTTGAAAAATTCGTGGTTGTAGTCCCCGAAAGTTCAGGGAACTTTTACGTACAGCCTAATTACTCAATAATTTGTACCCGACGGACACGAACGACGGCGACCCTCGGAAAATAATCAGCTTTAGAGAGTTGTTGTATAAAGTATTGAATTACTTCAAGCACGAAGCAGATGCCATTTGTATGTAGTACATCCATAACATATTTCTGCGTCATCCGCTTTCTTTAATGTTGATGACTTTAGCACAGTATAACTGGTCAAAGTTGAGGATAATGGGCCTTTCTTGTGTTGAACAGTAATACAGTTTATTTGTGCTCCAACCCATTAAAGCAAGGTCATCATCTAAACCGAGTAATACAGCGTGACCAAAAATTAAAGTACATTTTAAAAAGCTTGTAACGTTTTATTCAAGTCACATATTGAAAAACGAATTCTTCCCCAAGAGTTGCCAACATTCAGGTCTTTGTTCATAGATGCTCGATTTATGGACCATTCTTCTTCGCCGAGAAAACATTAACAGGAATCTCGTATCTAGACATGCTGAAAACTGACCCTTACACACCAGCTACAACAGCGGGGTGATGAGGATTGGTTTTAATTTTCGTCTCATGCCCAGTTAAAGACAGGCAGAAACTATAAATGTATAAGTGAACATCTCTCCCATCTCGTGGCGAAAGTCTCAACTAATGCCCAGCTCCCAATTATGGCGCTAACATCTCCTCGCAAATCCTGTTACCTAACGGCAAAGGTCTGATGAACCCAGAAGTGAAAAAGTTAAAACATACGTCATCTCGTGGCGAAAGTCTCAACTAATCTCTTGATGCATTTAATCGCGCCAGTACTTCCTGGCATATCCTGCTACCCGTGTACGAGTTTGAAAAATTTCGTTCCTGTTGTACTGTTGCGACATCTTGTGGCAAATGTAGTAATGGCCTTCTTCATCTCCAGGTAAAGGACTGAAATAATTCAATTGCTGCAGTTTAAGGCCCAACATCATCTCGCATTTCCTATAACTTATAAAATTATAAATATAATTTATGCACACGATGTGGCACAATAGCATACCTAGCTCAGCCCATCGTCACGTGGTGGAGGCCACACTGTGTGGTTGGTACTCCTGTACGGTTCTCATGTCACTACTATCCACCCTGTGTCAGCCAACATGTATGGACTGACATTTGATGCCCTTCAGTAAATTATGTTTCGTAATCTTACCATTCCGGTTTTGTAAATTTATCATAGAAATTTAGTTTGCATAAATAAATATGCCAAACTCTTAGAATGACGTAACTAAGAAAAAAATTATAAGTACAGTAGTGTCCGATACTAGACGCCAGTTTTTGTAATGTTGAAAATGTTAATCAATTTTTTTAAACACATTTTTCTTTACTTTTTTGACAATTTGTTTTATTCAAAATACATGTTTCACGAAGAAAAAAGTTCAAATTTGTGAAAATTAATAAGATTTTTTTTAAATTTCAAATTACACATTCCTCCCCTCGCCCCGAAATCCTTAGGTGTCCGGTATTATACGACCTTCCCCTATATGAAACGGTTAAATTTTTACAATACCTGGGAAATATTTTTACACCCTAGGGGCTAAATTAAAATAGATGCTTTTCTGATATTTTTCAGCAACACACCTTAAAGTATTTTTACTACGATGTGCTTTGATAGCATCGTTGTCGATGGTCACTATTGATATAGTTTGGGTTTGAATTGTGAGCTGTATTCTGTCACTTTTGATGGCCAGTGAATTTTACAAGTGTATTTACAGTACGCGACTGTAATCTTGAGACTTGCAAGGAATGCAGGAAGTCCGAAGCGTTAAAGGCAGACGCTAGCTTTCCTCCTTCCACCTTCATCCCACTTTCTCACCCCCGCAAGTCTCAAGATTACAGTCGCGAACTATAGTCATTTTAGGCCACGCTGATAAAAGACACTAGCGTGCTCCATTCACAGTTGTAGACATTTGTATTCAGGTAGCCTTTGCTCGCCCACTGTCACCATCTCTCTCGTTCTCCTTTAGTTATTCTCTTATGTACCGCCGTTCTGTTTCGTTCCTTGTCCTAATTCTCTAATTTTATTCTCTCACTCTTGTAGTTTTTACTTAAGTTTCCGTACGAGATGATCAGAATTTTCCCGGCTCTTTGACGACCAGTTTTATTCTGATGCGGCAGCGCAGACCGACAGGCTGTTGTTTCATCTCCTTATTCGACGTAGGTTTTTCTTTCCTTCCTCTTTGTTTCGTTGTTTTATTTTTATTGCAGAATTTTATTTATGATGAATACCGTAACCGACTTGGACAAAGTCCAGTTTTTTAGTTTCTTAAATAATCCTGTATGGTGTATGCTAAAAGAATGTACAGCTGTGTTGCGTAGATGGCATATTTTCATCTGTAATTCTTTGGTCTGGTATTCTCATTAAATTTATATGTAAATATTACACGATTTTTACGATAACTGGCTTCATTATGTAACAAAAACAAATATATCAACGGTGAAAGTTTAAAATATTTTTCCACATGATAAGTCGTCGTTGAGCGTCTACCCCACAAATCACCGAAAAAGTCGTGAAAGATCAAAACATTTGTAAGTCTACTGTTGCAAGTGAACTTAGAAGCGTCTGGTTTTCTTATCTATTAATTTACACAACAAGAAATTCAGACTATGAATTAACCGAGATAAAACTGCTGGCCAATGTTTCATAGTTGCGTATCTGAAATTACGAAGTGTAGTAGTTGAGTTTGTAACAGAATTAATACACAAAATATTATGAATGAATTTGGTTCAGAGAAACCGTGGGTCGTTTATTACCATAACATGGCCCGTTTTCAGATTGCGGATGCAAAGAAAGAAAGTTAATATATTGAATAACTAATCGTGTGTAGCAGATTAATTCTGTTTCTCAAGAACAGTAAAATACATTGAGTGTATTCTCAAGAAAAACTCTGCTCCATGTTGCTAGGTAGTAGATCGTGTAAAGAAAATTCCACAGTCAAAATTTAAGTTACATATATTTTAGTTTGGTTTATATTTTTACTTCAATTTCTTTAATTTCTTGACAGGTGTAAGTGGAATCAATTTAGGTGACTCGACTATAGATCTGTAAATCAATAAATCATTAAGTCTTCGACGTTTCAGGAATTCTATATAGGTTTCGCCAGTGCCATGTTTGTTGGGAAATTTGGTTTCTGATCTAGAGAGTCTTACACTGCTCTTATAAACGCTATTTGATCTGAAGTTACACAACCTCCAAAAAGTCAACTTAATTGTTCTCGTGTGCTTTGTAACGTATGAACCATTTAAAAGAGTAAGTTTTTACAGGAGCATTTCTGTGAATTTGAAGTCATTATCGACATTCTTAATTTTGGTTCACTCATTTGCAGGACTTGATGGCTAAGAGTGCCGGAGATGTGGTCCCCGATATTCGTGGAAAATCTCTCTCGCTGGAATTTTTTGTACGGAGACAGTTGTCTTACGAGTTTGACAGCTTCCCCCTGCCAGGTACCAAGATGGACAGACGCAGAGGCTGCAGATCAGCGGGCATAACAGTTAAGTTGCCGAAAATTAGGAGTAAGTAATAATAAATGCAAGATCTCTGAGCTATATTTCGATTTGGAATCAGGTCCTTGAGAGCATAATTTCTCCTCGTTTGTTTCGTACGTTACCACCCGAGCCTGGGAAGCGTTAATATTCTTCGGAGTTATGAAGTCCTCTTGGGCTACCAGTCGCGTCAATTCGGAACAGAATTCCAACAATTCAGAGTTTCTGTCTGAAACGTTGGAATTCTGTTCTGAATTCACGCGACTGGTAGCCCGAGAGGATTTTGTCACTATTCGTCGCCGTGAACGCTTCAAGTTATAAACCATATTAATAACTACCGGATGCTAGAAACCATTCACTGGCCTCTGGTCTGTCGACTATGGTTTCTTTATCGGAATATGACAGAGCCTTTCCAAAACTATAAAATATATGAACAAGTCGGAATTCTCATCACACACTTTAATATTTTCCACAGTGACCGATACTCACTCGCGAGAGATTCCAACGCATCGCTTCGATATTGCTTAGTCCTGTTCTTCAGAGGATATGTTGCCTGACTCTGGATCCGGCCGAACTGGAATCTTATAACGGGTACCATCTTTCCATTTAAATGTCGTTTCATACGGCTTTTCAGGGGAATTACATTCTGAATACTAGCGGATAAGGTGATCCGCTCATAGCCAATGGACGATGCTTAAGAAAAAATGCTGGCTGGTCACTTCCTTAAAGCATATGACATATGACAAATGGTACGCCAGCTATCTCATCAGATAAGATACCGCATGAAGACACTGTGACGTACACACCAAGTGTCCGTGGGTCTTGAAGACAAATGCGATGTCCTCATCTAAGGGACCCTGTTTCGGTGGGGGGCGGCGTGATAAATTCCACCCCAGCGTTCGCTCTTCAAACTGATCCCTTGGCCACTTCTACGGATTTCGCAACACTTACATCAGCTTAGATGATTTGCCGGCTACTGGCCGCAGAATCCTCGCTCTTGGAGTAGGTACGTCTGACACCAGGCCCGGGGCGAAGGGTTTCCCTCTGCAGGCAGGGGTGCAAACGATTCCGATTAGTTGGTTTAAATCTTGTCTGTCGTAGCTTGGGGGAAACTTCTGATGGCATAGTCAGATTTCGCCTATCGTTAGTCACTATTTCGCCCGACCTGTACGATCTCTGTACAATCCTGCTATTTTTCCGGCGCCATGCATCAGCTATAATCCCGATGTAAACAGCAAATATTCTTGGGTTTTGGCAATACTACTGATTTGAAATTTAATTTAAGACGTCTGGGTTGTTTAATCGTTCCCAAAGTACACTGAAATTCCACACACGTTAATTGACAATTGCTTGTTAACCTCGGAAATAGATTTATAGTGTCAACATCTTTAAGTGTCAAATCTAATATACCTAACCGAGCCAAGCTACCTTTTCTAATCATATCTAATCTGGGATACTGGGAACGACCCGTTCTTCAAGTGCCTGAGCACTGCGGGTCCCAACTTTCCGTTGGCTTGATCTATAGACATTTTGGTAGGACTCCTTGGACGAGGAATCGGCCCGTCGCGAGGCCTCGACCTGTACACAGGACAGCACAACACAGACATCCATGGCTTGAGTGGAATTCGAACCCACGGTCCCAGCGACCAATCGGCACAAGGCCAACGCCTCAGACTGCGCGGCCAAAGCGGACCCCGACGTAGTCTAACCTAACCCAAACAAACCTTACCGAACCCAATCTAAACCCTCTACCTAACATGAACAAAAAGAGGGTTAATAAAAGACTCTCAGGTTACGAGCAGTGTCAGGTGGCTGTACGGTGAATAAACCATATCTTCTGCCAAAGTTTCGAGAGAAATCTCTGTCTTCATCCTCAGAGCTGCCTCGTAACAAATCTGGTCCTTTGTAGCGTATTACCATCGGCCCCAACACAAAGTAAATGAGCATAAGATAGCATCATAGTACAGCAATCATAATCGAAATTACGAAAACATAAAAGATAACAAACATAAATTGATCTCTCATTGAAACAGCGCTCAGTTTTCTTCGTAACGAAAGCAATTCCGAAATTAATAAAGATCAAAATCAACCAAAACATAAACATACAGGAGGTTACAAATGGACAGTTTTCACGTTCATAGCGAAAGACGACAGTAACTAAAGTCTTTATACCGCGTATAAAAACGACATTTAGAACTAAATAATACAATATGATAACCTAAACAACAAAGAAGCGAAACTTTATCGTGGAGTTCGCAAACAATCTTGCCATTGTCACTAACGGCCAGGCCGTAACCGGACTTAGCACGTTAAAGCTATTAAACCAGAAGACGTGCACCATGTCGACAACATTGTTCAAAATTAACACGCAACTCACAAAAAAAAACCCTCTGTACTCACCAGGACGACAGCGAAAGCCGAACGCAACAATGTAAAGTAAAGCAGTCCCGCTACACGCCACACAGACCGCTTGGGGGGAGAGACGGTATAGCTCCTACTCATTCTTGACCTCAGCACTAGATGGGGTTGAGTGGTCAGCGTCACGCCCCGGCCTAGCTTTACCCCCGGGAAAAGACCCCGGTACCCATTGTAGAGGTGGCTGTGTGGGCCCCAGAGCCGGTCTGGACGCAGAGGCTTAAAAACACAAGAATGAGATACACGTATTTGTAACCAAGCGATTGAAAATTCTTGTCCTTTCAAATAAGCTGAATTGCAGAGTGTGTTTGTCAGACATGTTGAAGCAAGTACCTTGGGACTTCTGGACTGGATGGGTAGAAGGCAGATACGAAAAATGAGTTTCTCAGCTCTGTTTTCAGTCCTTCTAAGATAATAAATTCATTGGTCTTCATTAACAACAAAGGTTATTTTAATGTACTGTTATTACCATTGTGTACCGGTTTTTTTTATAAAACTGAGTCCATAGACGGACTGACAACTAAAGGACGAAAGAAGGAAGGCAGCTGGGCATGACAATAGGGCAGATAGACCAGGCAACATTACAGAATAGAAGAATGCTTAAGAGGAAAGAATTTGCAATATGCCGATTTGTAGGAAACGTATATGATTCTTGGTATAGACTTTTTATACAGTCTAAGATACGACACAGTCTGACACAATATGGTGTTTCATGCTGGGAATAACACGTCTTATTACGGCGGCTAATTACTAATTATATTATCTATATTGACGTAAAGGAAACAACAATTCAAGGCATTCGGTTCCCTTAAGATTCCATAATAATAATAATGTTCTTCATTCATCTTTATGTTTTGAAACAAATTCACGGTAACTTCAAGCTACTCTGGCATAATTTTTTATAGATTTTAATTTAATTTGCAACACACGCTTTGTCTTAATTATTTGAATTATCGTCACTGAAATTTTGGTGCAATAATATGCAGAAATGCATATTTGCTCCAGGCAATTGCTGGCAGAGTAGTTTTAAACAGGCCACGACTGCGTTCTCATGTCTCAGTTTATGCGTCTGTCAAGACACGAGGGTTTCGACTTACAATCATAAGCCGAATAAGGTCTGAGGCTGAGTTTCTACTCACTATGAGGGATCGGCTGCTAAATTGTGCCTCTCGAGAGTGAAGGATGATTCGACTCTTCTCACTTTCACATACTGTCTTCATAGACACTCGATAGGGCGGAATCCCATTCTAATGACGAGATCTGATGTTGGCTAATCTAGCGAAAGTCCACAAAATCTTTCCTAGAATGAATTATTCATGTTTGTATGCACTTGTTCTTCGAAAACTAACAGACTATGAGACACTTAACCCTCCTAGATCCAAAGGCCATTTTTACTGTTCTGGTCTTAAATAACCAGGCCAATTTTCTCGTATTTACAGCTTAAAATGCAAAAATTCACGAAAAAAATAATTTTACACATATACACATGAAAAGAATCACACTTATATACGAAATACTGAATATTTAAAAAATCTTATAAATTCTAATGTTATACTTAACTTACAAAAAAATTTAAAAAAATTAACAAATAATATTAAACGTGGTAACGTTTGCGTGGTTATATAATATTCTTCTTTTTTGGCTAGGAGCATTTGGAATTCAGAATTTTTAAAAGACACGTGTAGAAATGTGGTGTATTCCCGAATGGGTTAAACATTTCCATTCTTGTTCAATTTTAGAAACCTGTGGCAGTGTCACAGCTCGCCAATGGAGTATGACATGCTTTTAGATAGTATCTCAGGTCCCTTCTAATTGCTAGCGATGTTTCGAAAGAATAATTTCTGACGTAGGTCTACTCTAGTGAAAGAGATAAGTTTGCGATGTATTCCGAGCGCTTATGCCTAAATGGCGTATAGTAGGACAACTTTGCTTATTATTGATTCTTAATCGTTAGACTTCTTTTCACAGAATTTGCATTATAATTCTAAACAATCTTAAGACATTACAGATTTGCTTATATATGTATATTGTAGAGCATGTCCTACTGTGACGTCACCCAAGTTCTTGAATAACCCCTTCCCCCCCGTGGCGTGATTCAATACCGTCTAGCTTTCCCGAAGTGTGGAGGCTGCTGGAAAATTCCACCAGCCTGCGTCACTAGGACATCTAGGTTCTGGCTGATTGTGGAAGTCTCTTAGCTTCGAGAACTAACGCAAGACCATTTTGTACCAGAAACTTTTGTGCAGAACAGTGACTGTCAAATTCAAGCGATTCGTGTGCTGGCTGGAGAAAGAATTTTGCGAGACTAAAGGAGTGAGCATTTCTCGACGACTGTGGAAGAGACGGAGAGTGGTTGAGTGACAATCAGTAAATTGGCAGCGCCTTGTTCACCCTAGTCATCCACAATGAAGACTGTGTGTTGTTAACCGACAGTTTACCAATTAAATAAAATAATTAATTGGAATAATTTGTGGAATAAGTCCATCTGTTATTTCAAAGAATAGACTTTGTAATATCGCATTACGTTACAATATACGTTTTAGTATTTACATAAGACAGAGATATAATCTTACTTATGACCTTAAAACGGCTCGATTACGCCGAAACATGGAGCCGCGTGCAATTTAAATAATAATATAAGATTACCAGATGTCACGAGTAGTTATCCAGATTTTAAACCTTTACTTCAAATAGTATAGGCCATATCTCAAAATGGCGATACAATGATTTTAACTGCACATTAGACACTGGGCATTTGCTAGTGTCTAGATTTGTTACGAATGCATTTCATTTGACTGCAGCTCAACCCCTTACTTCTCTTGTAGCTCTCTTTCTCCCAAGTTATCCCCCATCTCTCTTCTTCATCTATTCCCTTTGACACATTTTCCCTTTCTTCTACTTTTATCCGAGACTGACCTAAGAACATTTTCATTAGACGAAAACGACATAGTACGAGGGTCTCCTCAACTGCCTCTCTTGTGTTCCTCGTTCAAAGCGACAGGGAATGCCACGGACGAATAGAAGGAAAACCTAACAAAAGAAATAGTCAGCAGATGAGAATGACATTTTTGTCATTTGTGTTTTTTTACATGCGGTTTCCGTCTGTTCTAGTCCTGTATACGTCCCTCATGCTTTGAGTATGCGTTTATATACTCCAGTCATTACTAACTTCAGACTACGTTTTTCTTACTTATCACTAAGTGTTTTTGGCGTACAGAGCCCTGGGACACAATATCTTATTTTTTGTTTACTTTCTCTTGCTTTCTTTTAATGTTAACTTGCATTATTATCAGCAGAAATCGATGTGCAGAAAGTTCTAGACATTCGCTCTTGACGCAAAAACTCATTGCAACAATTCTATCGAAGAAAATATTAATATTTGTTGCTTTGCGTGAAGAGCGACTATGTACAACGCTATATCACAGGACTCTACTCATGAAACGATGGTGATGAATCACGAGAGACGCCCGTCACCGACGACAATTTGTTCACGACTGAACGCGACAGACGCCAAACGCCGTTTGCAGGTTTATCAACTTACCGCAACGCCACTGTTTCGTCTACAGCGTGGTCGATCCTATTTGAATCATTAAACCGAGTCATAGATTAATCCAAACATAAATCTATAGCGGGACTACTCAACCTGCATGACCGGGGGTCATTCTTCCTACGGGTGTACTTAACCACCATAACAAGGTTTGACATTAAACCAAGAATGGCTTGAGGCCGATCACGTCAGTGCAACAGGGACGTACGTAATATAACATAAAAAAATAAAAGAACACCTTTGAAACCTCTGTGTACTCGAATGAGTATACCCTTCTAATGTTGTTCAATTTTAAACTGTAAAATAAGCCAATTTAACTCTGCACAATTGAAACACTCACTGATTTTCTCCAGCTAGTGTGTAATTTTTTTTTATTTGTTTCAAATATCAACAAACAATCTAATAAATTCTCGTTCCATTGAATGAAATGATTTAAACGTTTGACAGTCGTTATTTAATTCTGGAGTTGGCCGCCTTTTCTAAATACGTATTAACCCTGTATTATCACCTCATCGCCCACTTCTTAAATACTTCGTTCACCACAAAAGAAAAATGTCGTCCAGTCTAATGACGTCTCGAATATTGAAGTTTTATTAAAGTATCATCACAGGTAAATCTCTGCGTATAAGCGCCTCTAGTGTCCATAACTGATAAAATAACCGAGGTGATCCCTCAACAAGTGGGGAATTACAAAGTAAAGACTGCATTAATCGAAAAAATACAGCCAGTCCTACCAGAAATGAGTTATCGATCAAGAATCGATAAATCTAAAATAATTTTGGGATAACATTATTAGTTTATCTAGAAGGGCTTCCAGTGAACGTTTTAGCTGATACCCAAACAAGGTACATTAATTGTCTTATGGTAGAAACACGTACTTTTAGTGCTATCCGAGATCATGTCCTTCATAACCAGAATTTTTATATAGACCTAAGAAGATTTTATGTATTGCAGACTGCTGAGGACTTCACCACTGTTCATGATCAGTGGCGTTGGAGGAGAAAATAGTCCGGTAAAGTAAAAGGAGGTTCTAAAACCCGATGTATTGCATTAGAAAATTCGTTGTCCTAAGACAGTGACGTGTCCTAAGTAAGATAAGTCACTACGTCTTTGTGCAGCAAATGCCACTGTTTTGCAGGTGTCTGCGCCCTTCCACCACTTGCAGGCGTCGGACTGCAACCAACTCCACAGTAAGCACCAGTATACGTATTTCTGGTTCATCAGCTCCACCAGATTTGGAATCGGGCGTCGGACTTTCAGTAAAAACTGACGATGTGTCGAAATGTTTCACAGGACCTCGGACTTGTACGAAATTTGCGGTACGATGAATTTTTTTAGCTATCTTATTTAGTGACTAATAAAGTACATATAAATATAACAAATATAGGCTTAAGTACTCTTAAATGTAACAGGGAAGACTGGGGATATTCAGCCTACATTTGAAATAATAGATGTCAACACAGAAAGAATACAGGAATAAATGACAACTGTAGGTAATGCGAAAAGAAGTTCTTATCATGAATATAAAAGAGAAATTTTGCTTTCAGATATCTGCTATATAAAAATTGAATAGATTTTTAAATGAACAGAAATGTAAAACAAAAATAATTTTTTTCCCTTGATATAATTACGCTCCAGGAAATTTCCAGTTTTCTTATCGTTTAGTGTAAGAATAAATTACTTTTATGAACGGACCAAGTGGTTGAAGAATAAGCTAACAATAAAAGAATTAAAATGTCCTGTAGAAGGCCCTCCTCTACCCTTCACCTTAATCAAATACGACAGCTAAACGACAGGGTTTTATAAATTACGCAAACATATTTTTTTACAAAAATTATTAAAACCATCTAACGAAGGAGAGAAAAAAGCTTTTATTTTACTTTCATATTTGAGATAGTCTGTTACGTAGTAAATGTTAAACTTTTAATAGCTTGTGTATAGTCCTTCCTTTGTCCACCCACCTGAAAGTATTTACCACAAACCAAACGTGGATAGCGACCCAGGGTTTGAGAACCACTCCTCTAACGAACACACACACATTTGGCTCAAGAGTCACGCGAATATAAGAGATAAAATATAATTTAGGCCTTCAATTATTTGAGTACTAAATGTCGCATATAAACTAAAATATATTTATAAAATTTATTTTAGTACCTCTTAGTTTATTTTTTGACAAAAATCCATATAAATAAGAGAGTAATGTGTATGGTCTTGTCTTTCGTTACGCCAAGTATATCATATTCTCATGTTTCCATAAATGGAGTTATGGCGACCAAATAGCAGATTAACACAGCTTCAACGGTGTTGAGGAAATTCTAGTGCATATTCCGTCCTACAGGAACAAGAGTTCTGAGTAATTTAATTTTTATTACAAACGTTTTCTGATAACAAACAAAGTAATTTCATGTTAAGGGTTTTTAACACATCAATTTCCTTCTCTTGTCGACTCTAGCTCTATGGGGTGTGATAATAACGAGCCTCAAGTTGAGTGTGACAGGATATAGCATGTTAAAATTGTTATATAGTTGGAGTCTTGTCTTAACTCGGGCCAGAGGGGGAGCGAGCATTGTAATTTATCAACTTATGTCACCTTTGTGGAACCGTAATTGACAAAAACGCACCGCACAGTTCTGTCCCTGGCCACCGTGGCTCTGCAAGCGCAGGTAGTCTGCCAGGCATCTGACGTGACGTACCCTACCCTAACACAACAGACTCTTTCCTTCATGGGAACAGAAAGGAATTTTTCACTCAGATAATAAAGATAAATTAAAAGGGGAATAAAAAGAGTATAGAGAAGGGGAAAAGATGAAGAGATAGGACAAAGGAGGAAGACACTTGTTCACGGAGACATGGTTTCCAACCTATGGGGCACGTCGTAAATGATACACTAGTTTAAAATGTAGATTGATACGATAAAGAATGAGCATTGGAAAGGTTTGTCGCTTTGAAGAGGGCATTGAATAGCATCTAGAGACTTTGATAAACTGCAGCCACAGAATCACTGCGAAATTGTTATATAAAGTTAAATAATATGCCACATCTTCATATTACCAGTAGCATTTTACATCTCAAAATGACGTCAGATTTGATGGCTAAAGTTATAAAGTGACATTGCAGAGCTTAGTCCTACATGTACCTAATTGTATTATAAACCACTTACTCAAAACGAACACGTAATGGAGGGAGATATCGTGTTTGTCTGTCCGTCCAGAAGTATAATCTTCTCTGAAATCACCTGACGGCTTCCTAACCATGATGATGATAACTGAAAAAATTAACAAATAAATCAAGAAAAGGAAGATTTGGACATGGTAAATGATTAAAGCAGAATATACGAGGCTGAAAGCAAACGTGTCTCTCGTGTGATTAGTTCTGCAAAATGAGTTTAAGTCTACAGTGATGTATTCGCTATAAATGAATGTAGGACGAGTGTGCCGGAAAACGTGTTACGGAAGAACGTATTAGTCATAAATATTATTCACAGACCTACTTACCTTGCCTGTATATTTTATTGAATGATGGAAATGATTCGTCAGTAGATACTGAACATGATGCTTCAAATAACGTTACTGTAACTGGACGTGTCGGGCCCTTTGTAAGGAGATGATACCTTTAAAAATATCTTTTACATTGGGGGGAAGGGGATTTTAAGCTTATTATAGACCACTCGGGCGCGACTTTCGGTTATATTATTATTATTATTATTATTATTATATTATTATTAGTGTTCTGTCTGACGACAGGTCCATATGAACAGGATCCTTCCATCCTTTTCTCGGACTGGGACCTGTTCATATACGTTCTTGGCAGATGATCCAGAAGTGGTTTGCCATTGCCTTCTTCTGTGTGTGAATGGGATGCCACGGAGAAACCGGGGAAACTCCGTGTTGCCTAGACCACGGCCTTGCCCAACACAAGTTATAAATTCGGGCACCGCCGGGAATCGAACCCGAGACCCCAGGATTACAGCTTCTCGTTTTAATTCCAGAACTTCATCTTCTTTCCTTGTTTAAATGACAAAAAATAATAGACTCTATTTGGTGAAGAATAGATATACAAAGTATGGAATTCTTCATTTTGTAATTTTCCGTTACCCTCTTTTCCCTTTCTCAGGACAAAATAATCCACCCTTCACCCTGTTCTCAAAAACATTGCTGAAAACAAAACAATCATTTTCCCACGACTCTCACGATCTTTCGCATTCAACAAGACACTGATTAACAAATTCAAATTATATTTTACTTATTCCTAATATCTGTGACTATCCTTGTGTTTATCATTTCATTGCTTCGTCCACCCGCCATGTTGTATTTAATTATTGTATTTAATTACGAAGTACGAGTTTAACATGGCCTCGAATAGGAAAAAAGTCCATAACCTATCTTGAAAATTAGTAAATCTGTACAAAATTTGAAACTTATCACGCGCAGAGGCACACATAAGGTACGTAGTAGTAAGACGATTTCAATACTCCGTAGTTTCTGTAGATTACCATCGTCGTCTACGTAATCCAGAACTTCTGAATCAACAGAGCTAATTTAAAGCTGCATTAGCTACAGTGCCCCATATCCAACGCTGTTTCTGGCCCACGTTTCCAGTAGTGATTTCGGAAATATCTCTCTTCATTGCACATTTTTCGAATCAGAAATTGTGGTATCGTATATGGAAGGGACATCGTTTCGTTACCAAATTTCTATAAATAAAACGTAAATTCGTTACACTTAAATTTGAACAATTTCACAGTTATTTCAAAGTATTTCGATATCACCAAATATCTATCTCACTCCATGTTAAAAGGTAACTCTCCAAATACGTCTGACCGATCCGTGTTCTCTTAGAAACAAATCCTGAAATTGTGCTATGATGAATTTATATCCATTTAAAGGTTCCTCGACTTCAAGACTCATTACCGTGCCATTTAAAGGTTACAATCTAACAACGTTTACAAAATACTATAACCCACATTTTGTAGTTTGTACATTTAATCACATCACTCTTATAAATAAAAAAATCCTTTTCTGTTTTTACATTCTGTCATATAACGTAGGCCATAGCTAAGGCGGTTAGACTCAGACTTCTCATCGCGAAGACGCAGGTGGATAAAGTGACACTGGGATAGGATTTTTCCGGGTCTTTTGGTTTTTCCGTGTGAATATAGTTCTAATGTAATTATAATGTGGGCATGGACAAAGGGATTGTTAGAGGTCCAATTTCACACACACGCAGTCTCACCATAACACAACAAAAATTGTATAACTTACTTACGTTTCTTCTGAGAGTGTAAGATGGTACTGGAAGCAATTCCTAGTTTGCAGAAGCAATATCTTGCTTTTCACAAAATCAGATCAGTACGCTCCGAAACACTGTAAAAAGGTTTCGATTTTCTGAATTAGGATACCATCATAATGTGAAAGCCTGCTTTTGTGGACAATCGTTAATGACAGTTTCTTAAAGCACATAAAAAGACAAATATTTATTGGTAGAGAATTGACACGTGTTTAGCTACAGATGTAAATATTTCGAGAAAAGATGTAAGTTTGCGAATGAAACAGCTAATTACGACCAATTAGACATAGAAAGGATAATATTTGCAATGAATTGTACAGGTAATTTACCTAATCTCCTTCCACTTTCATCCATTCATCCACCATTTCTGGTTGACGATATAAAGAGAGTCCTGTTTCAAAACCTCGTTAACAAATGAACGTACGCTTGCGTGATGAAGGCTTTGTGGCCTTAGTTACTTACCCCATGGAGCCGAGTCCTTCCTGAGAGTCGCTTAGCCACTCAAGAATTTCCCAACATTTTATGTAACCCCAAGGTTCATTATCGTCACAAGACCCCGCCACTGGTCCCTATCCCCAGCCAGATGAATCCACTCCAAACCACCCCATCCTATTTATCTAAAATTCATTTTAATATTATCCGTCCACCTACGTCTGTTTTTTTCGGTTCATGAGAAATGTTACAATAAAATTGTAAAAAGTAAGGTAAAGTAAAGTACGCCATGTGAACGTTTGGGGGGGAGATACAACCTGTATTTTGTCTTGTATTCAAAGCCAGTATCTCTCTCGGAAGAGAGAATAATCCATAGTGGAGTTAATCTTTGGATTAATGAGAGTGGCTTTGAGATCCGCAATAAGAGACCATGTTTTACACCCATATAAAGCGATTTGTGTAATTTGTATAATTTTATACGTTTTAGATTGCATAAGACGACATTATAAACATACCACAGTTCATTCTCTACTGAAGAAAAGATTTAAGTTTTAAAAAAACGAAATTTGAGTACGTATTTTAAATCAAAAAGACAGAACGTCAGAACATAATATTTTGAATTATTGACCGTGACGAATAAGAGATATTTACACACCTCTTAAACTCTACACCGAAAATTAGACTGTAGCAAAAGAGCAGAAAATATTACCTTTTAATATATTTATATACCTCATAAGACATCAACGATTCAATTTCAAAAAATAATGTCCTTTCTCTCCATTTAATAGCAGAAATACGAAGATCAAGAACAGTTGAACATCTGAAGATAGTGTAAACTATAACGTTTGCTGAATGATTCATTCATTCATTCATTCAATGGAAATTAAGAATTAGCAACTGCCAGCAAGATGGCGCTGTGCGTGTTCTCGTTGGAGAGGAAGCGAAGACAGACCAGTAGGCCGTGAAACAAGACAGCAAACGCCAGTGCACTTAAGTGAGTGAGAAGGAAGTGTATACATTTAAAAAAAATAAAACAAAAGAACAAATAATAAAAATAATAAAGACAGCCGCATGAAGAGGTGTGGTGTGATATGATTGGTGGGCCGGGATGCAAACATTTAACCAATCGGTGACTCCGTATTTCGGTAATGGGGAGGAGTCACCAAGCGAGGTCTTATTAAGTGTCCTTTATTGAGAACTGCATTGTAGTTTGTACTCAGTACCAGCCGGGTAACGCCCAAACCATAATATTTTAGCTTCAGGGGCGCCTTCCGTCCTTTAACCTTGACGTGCGTTGAGGTTTCTCCACATTACGTAAACACGCACGCCTAAACTTTGTTCAGCCGAATTCTGATTCTGCCACATCCCACCTTGCTTGCAGAATAGTCGATTTCACTTTGCAAATTCATGTCATTTCCACATTTCAGTTACATAATGAGTCCTCACAGCCAGTCCGTTATGTTGGTGTGCATGCTGGCAAATACAAGGTATAAATATAGAACGTTGTCCAATACCACGACCTTCATACCATGTTAATAAAAAGTTAATTTGTAAGGAAGGTGTTGAAGCTTTCACGGTAAGAATGTGAAGAAATTATTTCATTATCGAATCTTGCTTACGTAGAAGACGATATTTAATTGCATTTACAACAAATTTTACACCACATATTAAAATCGGCATCTTCCTACAACAATAAAGGTCTATTTATATAGGAACGTAAAGATAACGACACGAGTCCTTGCCGATTTTTCAGAAAACATTATTCAACGTTTCTCAATGGAACTGTTTAGGAAAAATATCGTTGGAGACGTAAGTTGGGCGAGACTCGTTCGTGGAATACGTCTGACCGATCCGTGTTCTCTTAGAAACAAATCCTGAAATTGTGCTATGATGAATTTATATCCATTTAAAGGTTCCTCGACTTCAAGACTCATTACCGTGCCATTTAAAGGTTACAATCTAACAACGTTTACAAAATACTATAACCCACATTTTGTAGTTTGTACATTTAATCACATCACTCTTATAAATAAAAAAATCCTTTTCTGTTTTTACATTCTGTCATATAACGTAGGCCATAGCTAAGGCGGTTAGACTCAGACTTCTCATCGCGAAGACGCAGGTGGATAAAGTGACACTGGGATAGGATTTTTCCGGGTCTTTTGGTTTTTCCGTGTGAATATAGTTCTAATGTAATTATAATGTGGGCATGGACAAAGGGATCGTTAGAGGTCCAATTTCACACACACGCAGTCTCACCATAACACAACAAAAATTGTATAACTTACTTACGTTTCTTCTGAGAGTGTAAGATGGTACTGGAAGCAATTCCTAGTTTGCAGAAGCAATATCTTGCTTTTCACAAAATCAGATCAGTACGCTCCGAAACACTGTAAAAAGGTTTCGATTTTCTGAATTAGGATACCATCATAATGTGAAAGCCTGCTTTTGTGGACAATCGTTAATGACAGTTTCTTAAAGCACATAAAAAGACAAATATTTATTGGTAGAGAATTGACACGTGTTTAGCTACAGATGTAAATATTTCGAGAAAAGATGTAAGTTTGCGAATGAAACAGCTAATTACGACCAATTAGACATAGAAAGGATAATATTTGCAATGAATTGTACAGGTAATTTACCTAATCTCCTTCCACTTTCATCCATTCATCCACCATTTCTGGTTGACGATATAAAGAGAGTCCTGTTTCAAAACCTCGTTAACAAATGAACGTACGCTTGCGTGATGAAGGCTTTGTGGCCTTAGTTACTTACCCCATGGAGCCGAGTCCTTCCTGAGAGTCGCTTAGCCACTCAAGAATTTCCCAACATTTTATGTAACCCCAAGGTTCATTATCGTCACAAGACCCCGCCACTGCTCCCTATCCCCAGCCAGATGAATCCACTCCAAACCACCCCATCCTATTTATCTAAAATTCATTTTAATATTATCCGTCCACCTACGTCTGTTTTTTTCGGTTCATGAGAAATGTTACAATAAAATTGTAAAAAGTAAGGTAAAGTAAAGTACGCCATGTGAACGTTTGGGGGGGAGATACAACCTGTATTTTGTCTTGTATTCAAAGCCAGTATCTCTCTCGGAAGAGAGAATAATCCATAGTGGAGTTAATCTTTGGATTAATGAGAGTGGCTTTGAGATCCGCAATAAGAGACCATGTTTTACACCCATATAAAGCGATTTGTGTAATTTGTATAATTTTATACGTTTTAGATTGCATAAGACGACATTATAAACATACCACAGTTCATTCTCTACTGAAGAAAAGATTTAAGTTTTAAAAAAACGAAATTTGAGTACGTATTTTAAATCAAAAAGACAGAACGTCAGAACATAATATTTTGAATTATTGACCGTGACGAATAAGAGATATTTACACACCTCTTAAACTCTACACCGAAAATTAGACTGTAGCAAAAGAGCAGAAAATATTACCTTTTAATATATTTATATACCTCATAAGACATCAACGATTCAATTTCAAAAAATAATGTCCTTTCTCTCCATTTAATAGCAGAAATACGAAGATCAAGAACAGTTGAACATCTGAAGATAGTGTAAACTATAACGTTTGCTGAATGATTCATTCATTCATTCATTCAATGGAAATTAAGAATTAGCAACTGCCAGCAAGATGGCGCTGTGCGTGTTCTCGTTGGAGAGGAAGCGAAGACAGACCAGTAGGCCGTGAAACAAGACAGCAAACGCCAGTGCACTTAAGTGAGTGAGAAGGAAGTGTATACATTTAAAAAAAATAAAACAAAAGAACAAATAATAAAAATAATAAAGACAGCCGCATGAAGAGGTGTGGTGTGATATGATTGGTGGGCCGGGATGCAAACATTTAACCAATCGGTGACTCCGTATTTCGGTAATGGGGAGGAGTCACCAAGCGAGGTCTTATTAAGTGTCCTTTATTGAGAACTGCATTGTAGTTTGTACTCAGTACCAGCCGGGTAACGCCCAAACCATAATATTTTAGCTTCAGGGGCGCCTTCCGTCCTTTAACCTTGACGTGCGTTGAGGTTTCTCCACATTACGTAAACACGCACGCCTAAACTTTGTTCAGCCGAATTCTGATTCTGCCACATCCCACCTTGCTTGCAGAATAGTCGATTTCACTTTGCAAATTCATGTCATTTCCACATTTCAGTTACATAATGAGTCCTCACAGCCAGTCCGTTATGTTGGTGTGCATGCTGGCAAATACAAGGTATAAATATAGAACGTTGTCCAATACCACGACCTTCATACCATGTTAATAAAAAGTTAATTTGTAAGGAAGGTGTTGAAGCTTTCACGGTAAGAATGTGAAGAAATTATTTCATTATCGAATCTTGCTTACGTAGAAGACGATATTTAATTGCATTTACAACAAATTTTACACCACATATTAAAATCGGCATCTTCCTACAACAATAAAGGTCTATTTATATAGGAACGTAAAGATAACGACACGAGTCCTTGCCGATTTTTCAGAAAACATTATTCAACGTTTCTCAATGGAACTGTTTAGGAAAAATATCGTTGGAGACGTAAGTTGGGCGAGACTCGTTCGTGGAGCGGACGAGCTCGGAGTCAATATAAACAGTTCCATTGAAAAACGTTGAATAATATTTTATGAAAAATCGGCAAGGGCTCGTGTCGTTATCTTTACGTTCCTATATAAACAGACCCTTATCCGGCCCTCCGCGACAAACAGACGTGTATTGCGTTTTCATGTTCATGCAGATACTGTCACAGTAAAATGATTGTTTTGGTCAAATGAAAGGAGAAAATTTAACTGACTGCACATGACTTGATCCTTGATCATAATGATACATTTTAATTCTTTAATACTCTGGTAAACGTGTACAGAAGAAAGTTAAAAATCAATTTATATAACGTTTTACCAAATAAGCTAAAAGTCATTTTTTGCAAACATTTTCGAAAATATTTTTTTAGATACACTCATTAACGTATTTGTGTTCTTGTTCAAAGTTGTCATTAAAATTGAATGTCTTAGCTTAAATTAACACCGAAAATGAAAATTAAGTAAAAACGGATTATGGGTTCTCCAATTGATCTATGCATTGGAGGAACGTGACTACGGTTTACGTCATAACACACATGAGCGGACCTTACTTATTCCCACCATTGTCAGTACTGCAAATGATGGTTAATGGAGATACCGTAGTAAAATCCAATTCTTGTTCTTCTTCTTTTTTTTTTTTTTTGGGGGGGGGGGGGAAATCACTTGGAAATATTTCTTGTCAACCTCAAGTTCACTTCGCGAACCTTTTGTACTGAACAAATTGTTGGCAAAATCTAGGTTCTAAAGGGCAGGAAGACTAATACAAAGCCTCTCCAACTTCAATGCCAGCATCACTTCATGAGAAGCATTCCGTAATTGCAAGTAAGGTTCTAGGAATCAAGGCATATCATAAAAGAATGGACGAAATGTCATTAATAATAGCCAATTAAAGTTTAATGTTTTACTTTTTATTGTACCTGTTTCAATTGTTAGCATTTGCGGAAGGTATACCGAGCATAGCCGATTCGACAAATTTCTCATTAACAAGTCCTTTATGTATATTTTTTTATAAAAGTTTGTTTATGTTTAATGTTCGAATAATGGCGGTACACCCATTTCTCCTCATATGGAGGGCATTTATGTCATACCTTATAAAACCTTTTCTGGCTTAATGGCATTCATAAAATACCATTATATAATCTGTAAAAACAAGTCGTCCCTTGGACGCCAAGGTTTTTAAAAATGTATTGCTCTTATGTTTAATATTTATGCAGAACCATTAATGTCATTTACATTAATTTTGTTGTTAATAAGATATCCCTTCTTGGGGATTCCTTAATATGCTTCAATGTTATGCAGTACTGCCCTATGCAGGGTACAAATGTCATAGTTTCATAACAAATTCAATAGCCTCTTTCTTCAATATAATAGACCTCTACAGGTGAACACTTAACGTTATTTTATAGCCGGTAATCGTATTGCTCTCTGATACTACTACGAGAGCCCTGGAAAACCACAGTTTTTTCACTACCTGACAGTAACGTTCGCAAACTATTTATCACCAATGCACGCTATGTGGTATTCAACATCGTTTTATGAGTGTCATTTTATTAACGTAGATATCAAACTTTTGTGTAACGCATTAACACAGAGAGAGGGGGGACAGATTTTTAAACTACGTCGTATCATGTACACGTAAGAACAGTAATCTCATTTTCCATCAGTCGCAATTAAACGTATGATTTTATGTGACAATACTGGCGTGTAGCTGAAAGGATGAGACGTCCGTGTTTTTGTTAAAGAAAGGAGTTAACTGAAAAGTACCGTTTTATAGAGTTCCACAATGGCATATTCTACCGTAACTCAACGTTAACAATCTAAACTTGGCTAACGTAACAGAGGTCTTCGCCCCAACTATTAAGTTCCATCTCACAAAGACCTCGCCGTCACTGATGTGGGCTACACACCACCAGGAACCTTTGTTCCCATTCATCGGGTTCTCCTTAGACAGGGCTTTTCCGGGGGCAGTGGATGGTTCCTCCGGCGTGTAGTCAGGGGGTTTGCCACGAGGATAAGGAATGGAGTTCCCGGGACCAGGTGATTTACATCGCAGCGTGACACGTGGGTAACGCCCCGTTCTTAATCGGACAACACCTTAAATATAACTCTC